GCGGCCGTTATGGACGCGGCACTCGTGTTGATAGCGGCCAACGAGACGTGTCCTCAGCCGCAGACCTCTGAGCACTTGGCGGCCGTCGAGATCATGAGACTGCAGCACATGATTATACTCCAGAATAAGATCGATTTGGTTAAGGAATCCCAGGCCCGCGAACAGTACCAACAGATCCAGAAGTTCGTCCAGGGAACGGTAGCTGAGGGCTCACCTGTGGTGCCCATTAGCGCTCAATTGAAGTATAATATAGACGTACTGTGCGAGTATGTGGTCAAGAATATACCCATACCTCCCAGGGATTTCCAGAGCCCGCCCCGGCTTATTGGTTAGTAGTGTGTGTGCGGGTGTCTGAGAGCACCGGCCGTTTATTGATTGTATTGATGGCATTACTAATATCTGCAATCGTGTGGACAGTTATCCGATCATTCGATGTGAACAAACCCGGCTGTGAAGTGGAGGACATCAAAGGAGGTGTGGCCGGAGGCTCCATATTAAAGGGTGTACTGAAAGTGGGAATGGAGATCGAGGTCCGGCCCGGACTCATATCTAAGGACGACTCGGGAAAACTGATAGTCTGTCCCATACTGTCGAAGATCACGTCCCTCTACGCCGACCAGAACGACCTCCAGTACGCCGTTCCCGGAGGGCTCATCGGTGTCGGCACTAAAATCGACCCAATGCTGACGCGCGCCGATCGTATGGTGGGACAGGTGTTGGGAGCCGTGGGCTCGTTGCCCGACATCTACGCGGAACTGGAGATCACGTATTATCTGTTGCGTCGACTGTTAGGCGTCCGTATGGAAGGCGACAAAAAGGGAGCAAAGGTTTGCTATTTTGTACACCATTTCCATGTGTTTATTGGTTTTGAATCGTGAAAATAGGTTCAAAAGTTAACGAAAGGCGAGGTATTAATGTTGAACATCGGCTCCCTTTCCACTGGGGGTCGGGTGCTGGCAGTGAAGGCCGATTTGGCGAAAGTACAGCTGTTTATACCCGTGTGTGTGGAAAGCGGTGAGAAGATTGCGTTGAGTCGACGAGTGGACCGGCACTGGCGGTCAGTATTTGGCTATTTGTTGTCTATTTGTTAATTATAATTGAAAATTGATTTTTGTTTTGTTTTTACGGCTATAGTCTAATAGGTTGGGGTCAAATCAGAAGGGGTACCGCTATCGAGCCCTCATCTAATCAGCCAAACATTCTGCCCAATCGATTGGAGAACCAAATCTAAGCGACGATTATTTGATTAATCAATAAATAAGTTTTTTAATTAAATTATCAATTCATTGAATCCTTTTTATGAGTTTGTGTTTTTCGATTAAATTATTTTTAATTGTTTCGGAGATTATGTTTATTTTTTACCTGTGGTTGAGGTACGAGTGCTTTGAATATAGAAACCGATGCATACAAATTAAACCCTAATTGCAAAACAGTATTAAATTTTGGCCAAGTTTTTATTAATTCACTTAAAAATGAATACAAAATTAACGCCAATTTTAGCCATAAATACATTACGAGTGTATCATCGGTCGATATGACAGCCGTTCATGAATTGATCCAAATTACAGCCACCGTTGAGCACATCGATTGGCAATGAGTTCATGGAATACCTCTGCGTCTGAATTCCCGTCTCATTCGTGAGGAACCGAAACTCAGGGATCGGTATCTGAGTTGTGAAACCATTTACTATTCGGTTAAAGCATTCATTGATTTAAACGAGTATTCAATGGCAGACCTCATCGGTAGTGATATTCCTTTGTCTCTCCACCAGTTCCTCCCAATCAAACAGAAGTGAATCACTGGTCTCACCGAATGGATTGATATCCACCAGTACTACCCGTCCACCGGTGGGCCGATAGACATCCATCACAACTACCGGTATTTGGCGATAAGTATAAACGCAATGCATTAGTAATTAAACCACAGAATATTCTTCGAAAAGCTTTTTACAGTCACTGTCGTGGAAGCGATTCATGATATGAGTGGCAAAGAATCTGTGAATATCTGTAATGATGTCCTGTTTTTGTTGTCCGATGTGATCGTAATACGAGCGGACATCCCGTTGAGTAATACCTTAAAGTTGATTAAAAATAGGTTTCATTTGAAGGGCAGTTAGCCTTTGATTACCAATTAATTGATTATCGGCTATAAAGCAACGGAATTCCATCGACGGGTTGATGTCAATCCATTTCTTAAGGATCAGCTCGTAGTCAACCACCGGAGCATTCATTTCATTAACGTCTGAACAGTCTTTGAATCTATTCATCGATACAAACATTTTAAGATTTTTCAACAAAAGTCAAACATTTTCAACAAAATTCTCAATCAATTCATTTAATAATCACTGGATCTGTTCCACAACTAAGACATTAAACAGACGTCACATACGGTTGAGTCAAGTCGTGGACAACTCTATCGGAACTCTTAAGCAACAGATATATGTCTTCAGTGGTCGTGCATCGAGTGCCGGAAGCGCTGATCCAACGGCTGTCCTCACAGGAACTCCAATTGAGTTTCGGGAAAACCGATCCAAACTCTTGGAGCGCTTCCCGCAAACGGACATCCAGTTCGTTGAACTCAATGTCCGGCACATTATCATCGCTACCGCTATCGTCATCACCTGAGAGGCTGTTACTACCGTTTTGGGGGCCATTCTCCTCATCACTACTCCAATCGCCACCAGTATTGTCACCAGCAGTGGGTCCGCTGTTAAGATAATATATCGGATTAGTGGACACAAGATATTGAGTGGTAATGGCCTACCTTTTTGGCAAAATTATGCCATCGCTTAAGAGGTATTGAATGAAATCGTCGGAAAGTCTCACGATTTTGCTGTTAAAACAAAATCAAATGCATTATTAATACACTATTCAATGGTATACGAGTGTACACTATATCGGGAGTTGAGTGTAGTTTAAGTTTTAATTAATTTACAAAACTTAATATTAGTGTTAATTACCTGTCGATAGAAATGTTGGCAAATAACGGATACCATTGACTGAAACTACAGTTTAACACGTGTTTTGATAACATATTTGTTGAATACAGGGGTTTAATGGCATTAACCACCGATTGGTGTATTAATTGTGGTTTAGATTTGACCGCAAATTGTGTCAAACGTTTGACAATACAATCAAAACACTGAACAAAATGCTTATGAAATGCATTGAAATACTCATAAATAACGCTATATTTGGAGTTTTATTAGAGAAAAAGTTTTCAACAAGCTAAATTATTTTAATTGAATTAGCTAGATAATTTACTTGTAGTTCTAATCGTTAAAAATATTTTACTTTTTATTTTTAATTAATTTATGTATTTTTAATATGCGGTAAATGATTGGATTATTTGACCGAAAATTACTTATAAATAGTTTAGTTTTGGTATTTAAATGAAATTCATTATATTTTTTATATACTGTACTGTCATTAGATTTACAAACATTTGACTGAAAATATTGCATAATTAAAGAGACAGTTTTATTTGCGACAATTGTATTGATTTTATTTATTATTTCCTATGATTTTAGACTTAATTAGTAATATTTGTCGAGATATTTTATTAAATATACGGTAATATCAATCAATAGATGAACACAATTTTTGTGATTATAATTATAGTATATTTTAGACTCATTTATAAAATAAACAGAATATAATGAAAAATGCGATAAAGATCTATAAATAAATCTATAAATTATATAAGAATTAAACATTTCGTTTGGATTCAGATTTGTTTTTATGGATCTCTCGGTCCTTATTAACGAAAATCATTGCACTTTTGTCTTACAAATGGGATTTAGTGGCCAAACAATTTGGGTTTTGGACCAAAACTTTTGATCATTTTGATCTACTTTGGGATTCTGTACAGAATCTGTAAATCTAATATCATTTATAGAAGTTTATTGTTATATTACATTAGAAATAATATAGAAATTAGATTTATATACAGTATAAGTTTTTGTACAGTATTTATTAAAATTGAAAACAGTTTTATGTGATATTTTGTTGGTTAAGTGAATAACAAATAGGTTTATGTTGTGTCTTAAAACTTAATATACTATATAATGAGATGACTATCGGATTACTTCTGAGGAATACATTGGAGCCATTGGTGTTCGGCAACGGCGTTAATGTCAGGTCTTTGGTTGGGATCCGGTTCCAGGAGTTGTCGGATCAGATGAATGCACTCATTGGTATAGTTATTACGGTACTTACGAGTCATTCGCACTCTTTCAGTCCTCATTTTTTGGTACATCTCTTTCATACTCTCCTTATCTTTGGGATTAAAACCGAAGGGAATGTTGGCGTTAACGCAGACATACAGACAGATACCCAACGCCCAGATGTCGGCCCGGAAGGGGTCGTACTCTTTAAGTTTGGCTATTTTGAAGCCATAGTGACAGTAGACGAAGAGCTTGAACACCTGCGGAGACATATACTCAGGAGTGCCGACACCCGACCGCTCTTTCATCACTTGCTGTGTCTTTTTGTCAAACCGGTAACGACTCAAACCAAAGTCAGTGATCTTCAGACACTGAGAGCCGTCACAACTCTTGTCTATTAAGATGTTCTGGAGTTTGAGATCTTTATGAGCGATATGTCTTGAGTGCAAAAACTTCATTCCTCTCACCATTTGGCCGAAAAAGTCTTTGGCCTTGTCTTCGGGGAACGGCTCATATTCAGGTCGATCGGCGTCGCGCACACCGGTAGCCATACTGTCTATTACTGTCCCTCCGGTCGCCAATTCCATGACTATATAAAAGGTCTTCTGATTCTTCAAACTATCGATTATTATGAAAGACTCGAAGACGCGGTCCAATTCCATCACTATATAAAAGGTCTTCTGATTCTTCAAACTATCGATTATTATGAAAGACTCGAAGATGCGGATTATGTTTGGATGCGGTGAGAGGACTGACATCACCATCAGCTCAGACATGTAGTTATCGATAGTATCCTTTCTGGAGAACCTGTCCTCGATTTTCAGTGTCTTGACGGCCTTCTCAAGACCGGTGTCGGTGCTGACCACCCGATACACGTGCGCGTAGGCACCCGACCCTAACTCCTCCTTCTGCACCAAATGATGAGCGCTTAGGCACTCCTCTGAGGTCTGAAATTCTTCGGGTATCTTATACTTGCGAATCGATTTCTTAAGGCTATCACTGTTTGCAAACTCTGTCCACTTGTCTTTTGGCCCACCATTAGGATCGCCCTCTGGATTGGCTTCCCTTTTGGGTCGAGGTTTCGATCGTTTCTCAGTCTTTGGTTTTGGGCGCTTCTTCTGTGGACAACACATCCACTCCAATAATCGACACATTATTATCAACTGATAAGTGATTTGCAATAAAAAGATCTTCACTTTATAACTGTCTGTAACTCAACTGTAGTTTTCAATAACCGTTAGATTGCTATTGTATTACATTTAAATTTGTATTACATTTAAATTTGTATTACATTTAAATTTGTATTACATTTAAATTTGTATTACATTTAAATTTGTATTACATTTAAATTTGTATTACATTTAATTCAGTTTAAAATTTAAACTTTAAATATGATATGAAATAACTCTTTAGACTGAGTGATGACAAAGTCTCGCGAAATCTAAACCAGTCTTCAATTCAAAGCATTCACACAAAACTAAATACCAGTCATTATTACAACCGATGAATCCGTTGTGATAGTCAACACATCAGACAAACAGTTATCTCAAAAACACAACTTTCCGCTCAAAACACACACATTATAGGCGAATGGGTTTCGACTTACTTCTCATATCTACCGGCGCTAACGGCCTAAAGGTGCCCATCGATGCCAAGTGTGTGTTCTGTGGTCTACTACTGGACGACGGCATCTCACTGTCCGG